GCTCAAACATCCGACACTTCAAGCTCGGACTTGAAGTGTTTTGTGAAAATACCCAAAGTGTAAGATTAGATTTAAGCAGACCACAAGAAATAGCAATAAAGTGACTCAAACTGGTGCAAGAGGGACCAAACTCCTTCTAATAAGTGCCATAAATAATATGATGGTGTTGACACTTTATCATTTGCAGAGAGAACTCGAGTATTTTTAGTGCTTTGTGGTTATATTTTACTGTTTTCTCAGATTTGCTTCCTTGTTAATAATTTTGCGGCGAGTAATCTATTTATTTTTGCTCTTTCAATTGTTGTCGGCGCAATGAGTGTTTGCTGCCAACCTGTCTTTTTGAAATGCAAAAGCATCGCAACAATTGAAATGCCACCACAGCGCAGCCGAGGCTGACAAATGTGCAATCTGCCAGGCGGGCCAGCTGTTGCCCCCTCCGCCGCCACCCACCATCAACCCTCCAGGGAAGCCTGCAGAAACTTCCTCGTCTGTAACCAAGGACAAAGGTCTCTAGGGGAGCTGGTTTTTARTTATCAAGCTGTGTCTTCTGAATATCACACCAATACATTATCTCTCTGCATCCCACAGCAATGAGGAGCAATAAGGAGTGTTTATAGAAGCCAGGTGTGTCTGCAGATAATGACATGGTGCATCATGTCTATAAACTGGACTTGGTAGTTAAATCACTTTTATTTGACCCACTTTTAGGTTGTTTAAAATAAAACCTGTTTTAGGTTTTTATCTCTTGTATTGTGATTTCACAAAGTGAGATTTATTAACTTCATAGTAGTGAATTTTAAATAGATTAATCTTGAGACTTGTTCATTCTCTTCAAGATAAGTTTTTTTTTTCGAGTTTCTTTGATTCTTTTATATGAGTAATTGTTCTTTAACAGCTTACAATGCAGCACTCTTCACTCAGGCTGTATGTAGGTCCAGTTATGGCACCACTTAGTTTTGTTCTTTTATTCCCTATGGAGAAATGCTGTCAAAGTCTATTGAATTTATGTAATCGACCCACAATGCTAGACACAAGCCTTTTAGTTGAAAATAGGATCAGTGACTGGATTTGACAGAATATGGAGATGAGTGCTGTAATGATAGCAGGCCTCAGGGTGACGTAGGAATCTCATTACTTTTTGAGTTAAAGAGAAATTTTAGTAGCTTGATTCTTTTTTTTATTATTATGTTTGGTTTAATGTGTTCATGATGTTCAATGTATCGAGCTAAAACTATTAAATCAGATTATTCTCACCGAAAGTGCTGTTTGCGTAACTATTTTTGTGCACCCGACCAAAGAGTTTTATGTACGAGTTGTGAGCGCTGATCACCTTTTTTTTCTTCTTCTTCACTGAGCTAACCTAACTGGATTTGGGAGAATCAYTCTGTCAATTTCGTCATTTTTATTGTCCGAAAAAAAAACCCGAGTGATTTTCTACATTGGAAATAGTTTTCTCCATCATTATTCTGTGTGTCACTTCAGACATGCAATCTGTCTTTCGGYTGCTCCCAGCAGTTTTAACACTAGTTAAGGTCATCTTTGATTAGCTGTGCTGTCACTAAGGTCTTATGCGTTCTGAGTGTTCAGATGATTGAACGCTCACATTTKGCTCTGTCCTCATCACTTTAACAAAGTCTGGCTGCTTCTCTCAAACTACTTTCATAAGAAAAGGATAATTTGAGAACTTCATGCTCTAGAATCATGCAATCAGGACTGTGACAGACATACTTCACTTTTTTTTCTTCTTCAGTAGTGCCATTTAACACTACTTGTTTTTCAAGAACTTGCAAATGTTAAAACGGCAAAGTCTGTTATTTTGTTCAAGGACTTATTGATGAGACTGTCTGCTGTTGTTGGACAGATTAATGTTTCTATAAATGTTGATTTATTGACTTTTTTATGTAGCATGAAAATATTATTAGTGTCATTTATTTGGCCTTTCAACATTTTGTKGCCAAAGTATCTCATATTTAAAAACGATCTTGTCCTCAGTGCAATCAGACAGTTMGTTTTTCTTTTTTATGTGCCATGTGTTACTAATTTGCACGGCTTGGTAAAGCTGTCTGTTACTATCTGGGACAATGTAGCAGCTGTTAGCGAACCATAAGAAGAATAAATTTGAATGTTCAGCTCTGTAAAGTTTAAAAAAAAATAAGAATAGAATACTCTTAAAGTACAAGTAAAACCATTACAGACTCACAAACAAGCAGATGTACTGACCAGAAACAAAACATCATTTTAACATTTATTTAATTAACCAGGCAAATTCCATTGAGTTCACAGATGTTTGTTTATCTGCCTTGATTCCTAACACCCCAGGTTAATCATTGTTTATTAGAGGAAAGATGTTTTTTAACTTCCTAATCGCCAATCAAGCTCTTTTTTTAAATAAAATGCTGTCAGAGGTAGAGAGCAGCTTCAGACACATCAGCAGTTTTTATTTTTAGCTGCATGCGCTAAATGGGTAACCTGTGTGTGAGATCTGAGTAGTGGGCCGTCTGCCCAGCAAGCCCCCAGGCTACAGTTAGAAGAAGCCTCTCGTCCCCCTCTGTGTACACTTCTTACTAACCTCTCTTTAATCTATGTTGATTCTACTTCTCCCTTTAACTGTCTGTTCCTCTTATTATCGTCCATCATTTTCTTCCATCCGTTCTGTTCTCTTCAGCGAGTCAACATAAAAACCTTGCAGGTATAAATCTGTTAGTATTATTAAAGGAAAAGTTTAGCTCGTGCTTGTTTCAACATCAGCATCCTGATGACATTTACCTCCAAGAATAAGTTCTTTGCCTTCCAGTTTATGTGCCTGACTGGTGTGTGTTCTTGTGAATGTGTGTATAAACCAATTAGCCATAACATTGAGAGCATTTACAAAGTAAAGGAAGACTGATAGTCTTGCTCTTAATGCAATACTCTGCTAGGAATACTTACATCCTGGCATTCACCTGGATGTTATTTTTATCATTTTAACACAGGTTCTTTAGCCTTTGTCTTCTCACTCCTGTGGGAATCTTAATGAAATTTTCCTTGGCTGCTTATGCCAATCGAGGTATCCATTAATCTTTTTTTTGTTTGTTTGTTTGTTTTTTTTGGTAGAAGTTATGGATATTTGCTGCTCAAATTGACTTTCACACTTTTAGAGTACAAGATAATTACCTCCAGTTAAGATGAGCCTTTTTATTAGCAGATGTGGCCCTGGTCGTATCACAGATGCAGCTCCTTCGTCATTCTTCTGTCTGGTAGCTCACAAATGCTAACAGCCTTCTGGATCGCTCTGACAGCCTTTTGTTTAATCCACCTATCGCAGATGATATGTAGGTGGACTATCCTCTGGTTGTTGGCGACAGTGTTGGTGTTGATGCTCCTTCTACCAGCAGCACATCTAGAACTCATTAGATTTGGTTATTATAATGAATAGACTCCTGTTTGAGCCATTACAAATACTTCTGTATTTTTTATATATTTTTTTAGGTTTATGTAATTTTGCTGAAATGATTTTTGTCATTCTGTATTAATTAATGAATAATGTATGTGATTAATATAATGACAGAGTCCTCATGCTGGCCACTCAGCTGTTTTGCTGCTTTCAGTAYATAAATTAACTGCAGTCATCAAAATACTCGTTTTATACCATAATAATTAGGGAAATACAATTTGCATGCCCTAATTTACATGAAGCATCCAAAGTACAGTGGGCATTTTATATCATGATTATTCTTGGCTCAGCAGATTAGGTCAAAGGAATGTTCTAGTAAACTAAGTAAAATATCTGTAGGTTGTACGACGATGACATTAACTGTGGCTCAGCTGAACTCGCTTTTACCTCCTAATAAGTTGGGTGCAGTAGTCCTCCTGCCTACCTTTCATGTACTTCAATGTGATTATAATTGATTAGTCACTGTTGTAGTGCATCAAAACTGCGAAACATTAGTCTCAGAGTAAAAGCTTACATAGCAGCCGAAGTGAAAGCACAGTTTGACATGAAAGCAGAAAATAAGAGAGGATATGATGGAGAAAAAAATGTGGAAGAAAAACAAGCAGGGAGTGAAAAATCAAAATTAAAGGACTGYGTTGAAGGAAATAGCAGAGAAGAAGCAGAAAAGATAAAAAATGAGAAAGAAGGGGGATTAGGCAATGCAGAGGACGTCCTCTCCTACTTTTTTTTTTTTTTTTTTTTTTTTTTTGCTGTTTTTTGAGTAATGAGGCTGTTAATTAGCCAAGGCATGCATGGTTTATTAAATCAAAGTGTTTACAACTTTTGCTGTCAGCCAAATTGTTGCCGGTCTTGGCCAATGTTTCCATGGTACCAACTGTGCTGTAAAACTATAAAATTAGATAATGAAGAAAAGGTAGCCTAATAATCATCAGTCAGGGTTTATGCTGTAAGTTTGCTCCTCCTCCCTTTGAACTATCTGGGTTGCAGAACTGAACCTTTAGATATTTAGGCTTTCATGATGTGATGTGGATCTGGACTTTGGGAAGTTGGTTTACTGGGATTAGGCTCTTGTTTGGCTCCACGTTGGCAAACATTTCCCTGCTTGCTCTCTGTAGCTGAAAATTATTATTATTTCACTAGAGATTAGCATATTTTC